TTGTTCCTGGTCCTGGTCCTGAAGGGTCCTGGTCGTGGCGGGTCCTGGTCCTGGTTGGTCCTGGTCCCGGTGGGTCCTGGTCCCGGTGCGGGTTCTCCTAGTCTCCTAGTCAAGGTTCCAGTTAGCGGGTGCCAACTGGGACCTTGGTCTAGGGTACCTGGTTCTGCGGTTGCGAGGCCTCTCGTCCGGATCGTAGTCCATGAGGAATCGTAGCTGCTCGTTCGGGTGGTCCTGAGCTTTCTCGAAGGTCTTCTCCGCTTTTTTCCTCATGTACTCGTGGATGGTGTCCCAATGCAGGTCTCTACGTAAGGTTGAGTTTCTTACGTAGGATGGTGCACTGGTGGCGATCCGGAGTAGCTTCATCTCTAGAGCAGCAAGTCGCTTGCGGAGTTTATAGATAGTAGATTACCTGCATTTTTATATTAATTTTGATCGGCCACCGATCCGCCAACTCCAATACTTCGTCAACCGCATTCTGCAGCCTGTGATAAGCCACGTTACCAGAACACAGCTGGGTTGCTAGTGCAGTATCGTCAGCATAAAGATAGACTTCACAGTCGCTGGGGCAAGGAATGTCGTGAGTGAAAAGTAAGTACAGGATTGATCCAAGAACCGAACCGGCTCTGATGGGTCGTACTTTCGACAAGAATTTTGATCCGTGTTTTCCTACCTTCTGGAAAAGGTTTCAAGAGGTTAGAAGCCAAAATGGAACGCCCTTTTGGATGAGCTTATGATACAACAAAAAGCAAGATATTAGCACTTTTGTTGAGGGTTGCAGGCTACACCAGTCTGACTGCCGGTAGCTCCGTACTATGATCAGACAGGAAACCAAATTCCACGTCAGGAATCCCACGGTGATCCGACGAGAAATTTTCAATGACCCTTTAAGGCGAGCTTAGAAGGTGCTTTACCCCAATTTCCGATATTTGTTGTAGCGTTGTAGTTCAATTGCTAGTTGCTCAAAAAGGGATATCTGGAAAGATTTGAGGAGGTCTTAGAAAAGCGATATTTTTATAAATTGTCCGCTTTACAACCCGGAGCTTTGCGCTTGCGCATATTGGAAAAATAGCGCCCAGAAAGGCTTCTTGACGATATCTCCTCTTTGACTGAAAATAGCTATGCACTAAATTATATCACATTAAACTAAAATACGGTTAACCTCCGGCCGTCAACTGGAACCACATGTTGGATTAAGCTGCTTAGATACTAATAGTTCGGCCATTGTCGGTGGTTGTGACACTATGTAAATGTGAACCTAGGTAGCAGGGAAGTGCTTTTATGCCAATTAGCAGCAAGCGAGGGATAACTTTGATAGTTAATCAACAAACAACGAAATCTGACAGTCAAGTGAAAACTGCTGTCAAACTGACGAAGCTATGGCACGTGATATCCAGCATAGAAAGGCTTCACCGGTGGATAGGCTTATGTTGAGTGAACAGGCTCAATAACAACATATTTTTCATTTTTATTTGGGATATATACGTAAATATGGGAATTCATCGGCATGACAATAACAGGACAACTTTCAAATGATACAGTAAAGGACGACTTCCTGTACTTTTCCAATATGGCGGACAAAATAAGGGAAGGCGAGGTAAAAATTTGGAAAGAGCTTGTCGAGGTCTCCAAGAATATAAAGGTGACGACTGATTGATGCCGAGCGCTGTATTGTAAGGATCACAACGACCGTTACGTTACAAAGTCCGTGATTTGAGTCCAGGAAATGTTCACTTGGGATACTCGGCTAAACACTGCTCCACATTTTTCTACTGCAGTCTGTATCGAAATGTCGGACCTAGAAGGAGCTAGTGTTGCGTTCAAAATCAAAAAATCTACAACCAGTCCTCATTACTTTAAATTTAAATTTTTTCTCAATTCTATTTTTATTATGTAATTCTGAGTAATGTTACTGTAAATTGTTGCCTAAAATTTAACGCCAGCTGCTTCACTTTTCCCCCAAACAAGTATTCAAATTTAAGCTTTTCCAAATTTTTATGACTGAACTAAAAAAAATGTACCACGCTAGTCTGGCAAGAATTTTAAAAGTTTGGACATTTAATAAGGATTCCTACATGATATGACACTTGCAATATTATTTCTTGAATTATGGACGATTTTAATGTTTGTACATAATCTGTTTCACATTTTTTTTAATTACTCAAAATTCTTCTAGTGTACCCAAGGCTTTCCTGGCAGCCGTAACTTTAAGACTCTAGTTTGTGTGATATAGTTATTTTACAAAGCGAGACAGTAAAAGTGTCATTTTCTTTCAAGCTGAAGCGGCCGCCGTTCAATTTTAGGCAACAATTTATAACAGCATTGTTCAGGAGTACCTAATAAAGGTAAAATTGAGAAAAAAATTAAAAAAGTGTGTCGATTGTTTTTGCAGCTAACTGTTGCATTGCAGGTTACGTGTTACATTACATTACAGCCAGCGCCAAATCTTTTTATCAAAAATTCCCTGGAATTTTCATTGGACTAAGGTTATTCACTGCTTTATAGTGTTTGCCGTGTTATTTATACCTTATTTACTCCTTATCTTAGGAGCAAATTCTATAAAAAGCTATGCTTTTCTCCCTAAGACCCATAAAATCAGACTGGTCCTGCCAAAAAAGTATTCTCAAGACAACACATTACAAAAAATGTGATTTGCGATAATTTTTCACTATATGCATTGACTTGGTTTCTTGTCTTACTTACATCCTTAAAAAATTTTTAGACTATGTTGATGGTGTTGTGACTGGACTAAAGATCCTCCTTATAGCATTTAAGACACATATTTGTAATAATAAATTCCCCAGGTTCATAAAATATGCATTTTATTGCCCAATTTTATAATATCAATATAAAAGGATAATTATAGCATGGTATTTGCGAGCGCGTGAGAGAAGTATGCATATACGGATGAGTCTAATTGGAAAAATATCAAAATGACATTTACATAATACTCTTGTTACTATACGAGATGGTACCTTCTTACCATAAAAATCAATTTATGGTGTAGAATTGATTGCGCGGAGATAGAATGCACTCTCTGTACATGTGCGATGTTACGATCCAATACCACTCAGCCACCCACTACTACATCCGACAAACTGCATTGCAAGGTTCCTACAGAAGTTTTAACTGTAAAACATTCACTTTTCATATTTTAGGCCAGTGCATTATAGCCTCAAAATTGAAAGGCATAGTTTCAAAGCCCCCTAGTCCATTTTACAACTAAGGCCCGTATCGTCAGTCGTCCCTGCAATTGTAGGGCGCGTTTATGGCCTCCTTGATTGTCATACTGCTTTCTCTCCTTTAAAAATTTCTAGATTACACTTGTCCCGTGTCAGCGTTAGCGCTGTCCTATCGTAAAGATATGTTTTCTTTTTAAATTGTAGGAAATTTCAGGCTGATAAAACATGATATAACTCAAAAGCAATCACAATTTGATGCAAATAGATGTTTGTGACATAACCTCAAAATAGAGCGCTGACACGGAGAAGTAGAAAACTATGACAATCAAGGAGGCCATAAAGGCGCCCTACAATTGTAGGGACGACTGACGATACGGGCCTAAATTGGGACAGCGCAGCCATCTGATCGCAGAAAGCCTAAATAATGTTGTATGTCCTGACATACGTTTCAAAACCTTCTAAGCCGTTGTTTGCTTCTTGGGTCGGTTTCCAAATCCCTAATTTAATTCCACAAGTGAATTAAGTCCGTAAAGCATTGCATCCTTTAGTAGCAAAACCCGCTAAATACACAATGCTTGGATTTATCATACATATGCGAGAAACAAAATTGGCTAAGTCTAACTAATGTATGATGTTGCCGCGCAACCAGTCAGGGATGACCTTATTACAATGCAGCTTGATGCAAACCCGCCACAGGTATCAAACAGAACCAAGGTAGATATGAATTTGAAAAGTTGAAAAAGGTGTGCAAATGCTGTGTGACTGACAAAAAATTCCCGAAAAGAAAAAGCGTATATATTCGGCATGGTGGTGGAGGAAGGTCGTAAAGAAAATAAAGTGGAAGAGCTAAAGCGGTAAGTCACGTTCAGGAAGCTCTAAACTGTTATATTATTTTTTGCAGGTACATATTATAAATTGTGAACCAACTCCGAAAAGATTTTCAAAAGCAACTAAATCCAAGAAAGTCCTTTTGTTTGTCTAATAACTATTGAAATCAGGTTCTCTGATGAAAGAAATCTCAGACATCATTTTACCAGCTACTAATTTCTGCACATAAGGGTCAAAATCAGAAAGGTGAGCATTATGCTTCTGAAAAAGTTTTTCCTAATAGTATAATATATTATTACTACAACATTTAGCACATTTATTTTTTATAATAATGTTTTACTCGATTTTAAACAAAAATCGGCCTGAGTAGTCATTTCGGGAACGCGTCCTTATACCATGTTTCATAGTTCAGACAAGTCAAAAATGTTTACGATTACTAAAATGTCATATTCTTATATTAGCTTTGAAAATCATTAAATTAAGAATATATCTATAAATTAAATTCATATCATTTTAATTTCATCATATTTTGGCTATTAAAATGCTGTCTGATATTTGTCAAATCATTCCGTGAACGCAGTTGCGGTTGGTCGATCTAATTAAAACAACAAACAATAGGTGGCGTTAGGTAGCAGCAACGTGAAGTTCACTAGACGAAGAAAACGGAGTGTATCGTGTTTACGGAAAAAAATAATTCATTTTGTTGCTAAGTACTGTCTAATTTGCTATGTGTGTAATGTACTTTAATTCCTTGTCACTACGGGAACGCTGTTTGATGATTAGTTTTCCCAAATTTACATACTTCTTTCATAATGATGATATTACAGGTCACTTGTTCTTAACTTCCAAAACCAATATCTAAAATGGGAACGTTCTCGTCTACGACGGTGTGTTGCTGATGAATGACACAACATGACACAACAGACTGCTCTTGTTAGTTTTCTTCAAGACGAAACTTAATTTCTCTGATATTTGCAAACCTAAAATGCTCACCTCTCTGATTTTGACCCATAAGAACCCTGAGTGCATTCTTTACAGACCAGTAGGACACTTTCCTAAAATATATCTTGAAGTGTATTTAGCGGTTTCGACCTCCTTGATGTCTTGCAGCAAACCTCCACTTAAGGTTCTCTTATTGATAGCAATTGTAATTTTTAATATGAATATAAAATTACCCATTTCAATTGAAGGGGGGAAAAAAGGCAGCTGTCACAAATTTGGTGTTTCGTAGTTAGAACCGTCGACATTCAGTCTTAACGTCCGTAGTTATACTCAATTGAAAACTTGCCATCTAGTAAAAGAAGTAAACCGTTGCAATGCAGGGGAAAAAGATGAATGTCACAGCAGTTGTATGAAAAAAATACGAACGTCCACTAATCGTTACCGAAACTAGTAGCTACTATAAACAACAAATTATCATAGACCAATCTGCGACGAAGCAAAATAAACGTGAGGTAATCATTTTTAAGCAGCTGTTACCATTAATCTTGTTTTGTTTGTTCTGATATTCTTTTGAATAAAGCTTTTTATAGTTCATTGTTTTTTCATATCCCAATTGAAAAAATATTTCGCAAATAATTGTTTTCACGATTTTCTTATGTTCTAGGCACTCTGTGATAAATTTCCTGTTAAAGTAGTTCTATATTAGAAAAGATGGTAAAGCCTAAGATAGTCATTTTGTTTTTAATTAACCCTTAGAGTTTACAGGATACCACATATGACGAAAGGCTATTTCTAAACTCAATATCTGGAAAAATGCATGGACGCTAACGCATGAAAAATGCTTAAAACTACAAGGAGAATCTCCAAATTTCTGTTAAAAAATGTTTAGTCTGCTTTCACTTTTAGGCTACCCTGTTTATCAAAAGATATTTTTTAATTTGTAATTTAGCTTTTTTTAATTTCTTATAATAAGGAATCTACGGTACTCCTTCAGATCTATGACCCACCCTGTCCAGCGAGCTTAGGAGTATTCAAGCTTTGAAATTCAGTTTTCTCGAAACTTACTTTTTGTGACATTCGTCTGTTTTCCCCCGTACCCTTCAATTATAAATGGTCAATATTTTTTGCGTCGTTTATCCTTGATGTCCCTGAAGTACGCAAATAACTCAAATTCAAGTGCAAGTTGTTTTCTTCATGTGTGCACTTCAGCGAGTTGGTACGTGGCATTACTACCCTTTAATAAACTGAAATACTCCATACTTTTATACATATCACAATATCACAAAATTATGAGATTAATTTAGAGTTTTATAGACTGCAAAGCTACGTATATACATTAATGGTATACAAAATCAACTGCGTGTATGCTTTTAGAGTCTAGCTCAATGCTCCTTTTTGTAAAAAAGTTCTTTAGACCACCAAGACAATTGTTACACTCTCAACAAGTAACGCCGGAACCACTGTCTCTTTGCTTTAAAATTTCGTGCTCATTATTGAAAGACCAGACCAGGAAATTCTCAAAAACTAGAATCTTGAAGTTCATAGGAGCATCTCGTACCTATAGTAGAAAATACGTGACTATAACAATAACTTTAGCACCACTAGAGGGATGCACTAGACTATTTGAGCCAACGAATTCAGACTACGGGTAGTTCGAAAGAGCCGGTTAATGATTTGTTTGTCTCCTATTTTTTAAGCCCTGTAAGAACGAACAAAGTGCACTCGACATAAACCAATTTCTAGACATTTCTGTCATTAAATTCTTATATTTAGTGGTACTTCTTACATAATTTGCAAAGAGCGTCACAAGCCTAACGAAAGGTAGATGTTTCCATTTGGTGAGTATTGCTATTATGTTAATACAACGCGGTCACTTTGGTGGGCTTTGGTACACAAATGAATCAAAAATATTCACTAAAAAAACGCGATTCTGGCGGCAAACAATACAATATGAACCGATAGGCTTGGCTCCGAATCTATTCAAATTCGTTGATTTAAGCACACAAGGTTTCAATACAAAAGCAATATATATCAACCGTGGATAGTTATAATACAAGGACATTATGCAAAGAAGCCTATAAAACGACAAAAAAAAACCTACAAAATGTCGTCTTGCAGAACAGGTAGTTTTAGGGTGCAAACAGTCATTCCACGTTTGCTCACTAGGATCGTTGTGAGCGTCCATCTATGGAGAAATAGCCCATTTACACGCATTGTTGGTTGCATATGTTTTGTGAAGCCAAGTAGTCTGTAGTTTTCTGATGATTATGTGTATTGGTCTGCATGTGTATAAGATCAGTGATATTTGGTGCGTTGAAAATCATTACTGAATATGCTGCCAATAAAGTATGTCTATTAGCTGTGCCCGACGTGTTATCTATATGTTGTCCTTTCTGAAGACAGGTTATGTTCCAAGTTAGAAATTACGATTTCTTACGTTTTTTTGTGTTTTCAAAAACTTTGAGGAGAATTACGGGAAATCACGACCACACCCGCGCTGTATGTAGTTACTGTTAGGATGTATATGACTTGTAATTCGGCAATGTACAGTGAACATAATTATTTCTTGTCTCTCTCATTTTTGAAATTCAGCAAATGCGTAGATGTCATTTCCAGAATGTATAAGAGAAAGTGAACGGGCAGCTAGGTTTGAGTCTCAAGTAAGTGTATTCGATACAAGAATCCAAAGGCATTATCATCACAAACATCCTCACTATGCACCTATGCATTGCCGTTTGTTTCTAGCTGTATATACAACTTACAGCTTAGACCTCCAGTAGTGCCATCTATGAAGCAGCTTTTACATCACATCATAGCCAAACATTGATAACTGAAGCATCATGAAGCTTAGGCAACAAGTACAACTACAAAACGAGTTCACAACGAGTGCATCACCTAGTGCTAAGTCAACATCGTGTAGAAAGGCCTACATCGTGTCACAAAAACAATGTCAAAAAAAAATCGACATAATGTCACTTTTCATTTGGAAGAATTTCGATCACTGTCACTGTAACATATTTGAACAATAATAAATAAATAGATCAGGCAAGAAAACAAATTTGTATTGGTTTACAGCTGCAGAAATCATCAAATGCAAGTTTACTTAGTATTCATTGTACCATATAATTTGTAACGTCCCAAAATCATGTAACATTTTTTTAATATTTTGATCACTCACTACCAATTCGAATTTCTCTTTATTAGTGGTTGAGTGCCGATTCCTATGCTAAACCATTTTTAATGATTTTCTTTTGGCAAATTTCATAGCTTATTGATATAATCTCAAACGTATTATATGTTTCTTTCTTATCGACTCAGTATTGTGCTGAAATCTTTTAGACACTGATGTTATAGTATTTTATTAACGACTATCTCAAAATATTCCTTATAAAATATCGTTGGTCCCTCGTACAGTTTACTTTCTAGATTCAGTGCTTTGGCAATCAGCAAAACCTTCTCTGGTCCTCCTCCGTTTGTTTTGGTTTTCTATCGAACATACCTTCTGCAAGCCGCCTCATTTAACCTAACTTTTAAAAAGTTACGTGTTCTGCGTCATTTCGCTTTCATGTTGAGGTTTTTTGGTACGCGAATCGTTTCGTTACCTTCCAGATTCTGGGATATTAGGCCCCAAACACCAGTTTATGGAGTAGCGCCTTTTTATTTTATACCTTAGGCTTAGTTGTTTTGGTTTGGCTGCTACCCCGTTAATTTTCTTATGGGATTTTAACTACCAGCGGTAAGTTCGTTCTGTATACCATAGGACCACGTGCATTAATGCCTGAAGAAGTTTGTTCAAGTTCTGCCTCCTTTTAATGGGAAGACATTACGATAGACCACCATTCATACTCCTCGAGCCTTATTTTGTAGCTGCCTTGTAGCTGTTTTGCAGCTGGTATTGCTGAAAGTCACCCCTTCCCATTGAACAAAGAAAAAGCACTGATATGAACATGTAAAATATCATTTTAATTGAATATTTTATAGATACTTATACAGGTTGGCGCATCGAAAACAAAACAGACGCACTTACTGGCAGCTCAGTTGTTTTTTTTTAAAAAACGCTCAGACTCGTCGATTTTGTTTTCGAGGGAGACACAAGTGTGGCAAAAAATCACGTTAACACGTGCAGCCCCCTGGGCGGGGGTGACACCAACCCTAAAAGCTTAAACGGAAAGCGGGGTCGAGTGATACCTTACTTTGAAGGTCTTTCAATTCGCTTTACAATGATGTAAAATACATGAGCTTCAGTTCAGTAGTTTTAAAGATTTATTCATTCAAAGCTTAAGGTAGACTTTAATAGGTACATCAGATTAGTTTGTACTACTTTCAGAAGAAATTTGACTAAAAGAAATTATTTAATAAGTAAATGCTTTTCTTCACTACACTCATGGTTTATTTATCATTTTGTTGTTGAAAATAGCTATTGGAGCGTTTTTTTTGTGGCAAAAAAGTTATTTCTTGAAGGAAGATAAGGAAATATCTCGTACTTATTTTAAATAGGAATTTAGTACATAGTTTGCGATTGATATTACCAAACTTTGTTACTAAAGTAACTTGTAACGCTTTATTACATAAATTAACCATGGTATATTCCACAGCAGAAAGAGTTGAAATTATCGAAATATTTTTCGGAAATTATCAGTGCGTTAATAGAACAGCAGAAATAAAAAACGCAACATTGAAAATCCCATAAGGAACGAAGCAATAGAAGTGGGGGTTTTAGGGCAAGTTTATGTAGATCCTACGTTAAGTACCCGCAAATTGGAGACTGTGTGGTGTTAGTCGACGTACTGTCCAAAGGATTCTAAAGGCCCATAGTTTGAATCCATATAAAATTCACCTGGTACAAGAGCTTAATGAAGACGATTTTGATCGGCGATTACAATTTTGTGAAGATATGAGTGAACGAATTATAAACGATGAAAATTTTCTATTGAACACTTGCTTCTCCGACCAATGTTCCTTTTTCTTAAATGGCGTAGTAAATCGTCATAACTGCCGATATTGCTCCGATTCTAATCCCAGAATTTATCATGAGGTTCATACACAGCAGCCACAAAAATTAAATGTTTGGACTGGTATTTTTGGCGATCATTTAGATAGTCCTTTTTTCTTACTTGGAAATTTGACCGGTGAAATGTATTTGGAATTACTGGAAGACGCCATAGATCCTGCATTAACAGCCATAGTTGAAAATCAGAATGATCGGCGGTACGTTGCGAATAGGTTGATCTTCCAACAGGATGGTGCCTCACCACATTACGTGTTCGACAATATTTAGATCAGACGTTTCCAGATAGATGGATTGGCAGAAGAGGTGCCATTAAATTAAATGGCCCCCAAGATCGCCAGATTTATCACCTTTGGATTTCTTTATGTGGGTTCATTTAAATAGCAAAATCTATGCTACTCAGCCAACATCATTAGAAGACCTGCGACAAAGAATTGTGAATGAGTTCCTTCAAATTAATCCTCAAATATTGCAAAATGTGCGGCAACGTTTTGAGCAAAATCTGTATTATTACATGGATAGTCATGGTGGCCATTTTCAATATTTACTTGCCTAACGGGTCAGTTCATTCTTCATTTTTAAATTACTTTGC